CCAACCGTCGGTGCGGTTGCTTTTCGTTTCTTTCCAACACCCTTGGACGGTGCTCGCCGTTCACTGTTCATCGTTCACTGTTCGCCGTTCACTGTTCGCCGGCTGCCTATGACTCGTCTCTCCTTGATTATTATCCTTCCCACCCGAGTTTCTTTTACTTCTGTCCTTATTGGCGTGTGCTTGTTCGTGGCGCTCGACGTCGTGACGGGCGCCAAATTTATGCTTTATTTCCATGGTTTCCCTCCCTTCTCGCACCTTCACCTGCGAGACGAGCTGGTCTTTGCTTTGGGTCGTGTTCCCCATACGCGTTTCGCTTCCCACGAAAGACTCGTCGTAAAACGTCTGCCCATCCACATATACTCATACACACACATACGCTCGCGTTATACCGAGCGCAGTATACCGAGGGCACTGCACCCGCCCCGCCCCGCCCCGCCCCTTCGTTCTCTTCTCTTCGGTTCGGTTAACCCTCAAAAACCACCATCCTCGCTACCGCTATGGCCGGGTGCTTTCTTTCCCAGTCCCACAAATCCGTTCCATCTATCACCCCTCTTCATTTCACCTTCTTCGTTATCTCCCTCCTTCATCGGCGGTTCTTATTCTTATCCAGTTTTGGATCGTGCCGTGCACGCTTCCCACCTCATCATGGGTGCTTTTCATCCTTGCATCCTTCGACGCAACGTTCTCGACGTTCACCGTTTTGTTTCCTCCTTACCCTCACCACCGGTCCGCCGTCTGGATAAAGAAAGTTCGATGGCCGGTAGTCGGTGGCCCGTGGTAGACGTCCATCCATCCATCCATCCATCCGGCCGGCCCTTCTTCTCAGATCTCCAAAAACATGGGTGCTTTTGCTTTTCGTTTCTTATCTCATTACATCCCCGCTGCCTACGACTCGCCTCTCCTCGACTATCACCCTTATCTCTATCTCCACCTCTCCCATCCTTTCCGGTACCTCTGAATCTTCTATCCCGGTCCTTGCTTGCCCCAATTTCCAGTTTCCTCCTTTCCAATGCCATGGGGCGGTGCTCTGTTGGTCCCTATCTCCACTCCGCTTACACCTTACACAACCCTTCCTTCCTTCCTTTCCCTCTTTCCACGATCCACGATCTGTGATCCATTCTAGGAGCGGTCTAGCGTGCGTGTGGCGTGTGGCGTGTGGCTGGGCATGACGCCGTTACGGTGACGGTGACGGTGACGGGCGCCAAATTTATTTCCATGGTTTCCCTCCCTTCACACCTCCACCTACACAGGCCACAGGCTTTATCGCCACTGGCTCTTCACATTTGGTCCCCCACCCCCCCGCCCTTTCTTTTTTGCCTTTCTCTCTAGATCTCATTCGCACAGGACCTGTACCGTTCGCAAGCGCGTATGGGTCGGGCATCCCAAACGTGTCGGTTTCGGTTTTCGATTTTTGATTTTCGGCAATTCCCGCCCGTCATCGGGAGGGAGGGGGCTAGGGCAGGTTGTGTGGCTACGGCTACAGGCAGGACGGGACGGGCGCCAAATTTATTTCCATGGTTTTTTCGTTTCGGCGTCATTAACCATCAGAGGGTGCCTAGATCTCTCAGGGAGGGATGCGGGCTGGGGATGTTTGCCTGTTTCATCTCCCTTTTTCTCTCTTTCGCTGTACTTTTCGGATTCTGGCTGTACCTGCCTTTCCTTTCCTTTGGCCTTTCCTTTCCTGTGGCGTCCTGCCTATCGTCGAGTGTCGAGTGTTCTCGCCACCGTCGTCTGCATAGAAACCCGCTTTTTTTCTCCGGACGCCGTCTCCGGATAGCGTGGATATATCCACTCGCAGCGCCTAAATTCCTATCACCCATTTCCGCTTACGGGTGGTGGTATCAAGTATCACCTATCACCGCTCGCTTATTCGTTGGTGGTCGAGTTCGGGTTCACACGTCCATCGTCTTGTCTACGTCCGGAATCCGGTGCGCGAAAGCCTGTCTGGCGTGTACGTTTATGTGTATACATGGGAGGCAATCGAGCAAGTGCGCATC